ATTCTGCTCTACGTAGTTGATTCAACCTGGAATGTTTCGAACACAGAGTATGTGCTCACATCTTTTGATTGATTTGGTATTGACATCACATCTTTTGAACAAAGCCTTTTAATGTTTTTTTCAACTTGGAATGTGCTTAACTTAAAGTGCTTAATAAGAAAATGCTTTATCATCCAAGCAATTTTACAGGTGGTGATTTTTTTCTTTAAAATACAAACTCGGTTCTTTTTCAATAGGCACAAAAATGCACTTCTAATCTTTTTACATGATGACTCAATTTGAAAAGAAACAGCAAATAGTTCAAATTAAAGAAGCAAAATCAAACCTACTTCAAATCAGAGCACCATTCTTCTATATGATGCATATCAAACTTCCTACTCATACATTCATTTATGAACACTCTGCAAAGAATAAGTTGCTTCTGTAATATAAATCAGTATCATAGAATCATGATAATTATACTAAATCAACTCATACATTCATTTATGAACACTCTGCAAGGAATAAGTTGCTTCTGTAATATAAATCAGTATCATAAAATCATGATAATTATACTAAATCACAAACTAGTGACTTAATTCCTAAAAAAACAATCAACCATGGTTCATATATTCCCATTAATAGGAAAATTATTGAAATATCAAAAGATCTGATAAATCTATAATATAAAATAAGAAAAGATCTAAAGTCTATAATATAATTAAATTCTATTAAAGCTGGCAACTTCCCATTCTTTCAGTATTTGAGCTTGTAAGATTTCATATGTTGCTCGGACAGTTGGTGACAGTCTACTCAAGTCGAGGTTCATAATACGTTCTTGAGAACGTTCTTGATCAGATTTCTTTTGTGCTCTCTCTCTCATTTCCTGCTCCTTCTTTTTCATTTGTTGGGATTCTTCCTTCAACTTTTGGTTATGCTCCTTTAGTTCTAACTCCTTTTTCATTATCTGCTCTCTAAATGCATACTCTTTTTGTTGGATTTCCTTCTTCAACTCCAGCTCTGCCATATTGAATTGGATTTGCTTCTCCAAGGTGCATTGCATTTTGTTCAATGCTTCAATAACTCCATTTTGCGCATTCAGCTTTCGCTTTCTTTCCTTACAACTCTTCCTTCCTTCAGGGTGCACAATATCATCACATCTAACTTCTACAGGTTCTGTAGTATTATTTCCTGTGTTAGGTGTGGTGTCAATAGCCGCTGATGGGTTTCCGTTATCCACAGAATTCTTATTTGATGCATCAGCCTTTGTCAACTGGTTGGTACACCATTTTGCATTCTTTATTAAAAGTTCCCAACAATGGACATATTTGAATTCCTTTTTCTTCTTATCACTCATAATCCTCTCATACATGTTCAATGCATTTTTTTTCTGGAAAACACAAGAATCAAATAAAAAAGATTCAAACTACTCAAATGTAATGAAAATATAAAAACTGTAACACTTAAAGTAATACTTACTATGTCTTCTGGGTTCGAACCACTTTGTGGATGCCTTTCAAGTTTCTCATAAATCCCATGGAACTTGTTAATGGACTTTTGTATTTTTTGCCACCGACACTGCAAGCTGTTACTATTCCTGGGCTTTTTGCAATGATCTCCTATGTTATCCTTCCAAACTTGTAAGATTCGCTCCCACATAGCTGTATGCTTCTGGTTGTTACCAACATCAGGATCCGTAGAGATACGTAACCATGCCTGTGTTAATGCAATATCTTCTTCGGAACTCCACATAACTGATGTTTCATTGGAATTATTATGGACATCTTTCGGTTTCTTTCTTCCTCCTCCTCGTGTGGTATGAGTTTCTGTGGCTCCACTTGGAAAAACTGGAGTGTTCAAAACATTTTGGATTGGAAAAGGAGGTCCATAATGTAGGTTAGTATACGGAGGACAAGAACCATTCATGGTATTAAATTGATATGAAGGATGAAACTGGGGACTTATTGATGTCGTGAACTGATTTGGAGTTTGGCTGGGAAGATTAACATAAGGAGGACGTTGGGAGCTTGGAAGCTGATCACTACCAGGAAACTGATTTGGAGTTTGGTTGGGATGATTAACATAAGGAGGACGCTGGGAGCTTGGAAGCTGATCACTACTAGGAAACTGATTTGGAGTTTGATTGGGAAGATTAACAAAAGTAGGATGTAGGGAGTTGGAAAGCTGATCACATCCAGGATCCATATCCAAATTGTTCCTGTACATCAGAAAAAACCACAATACTGTTTGCTCCCAAAATGGTTCAAAACATCCAGAATACATCAAATCCTTTACTTTCAACATAATATTGTCAAATTTCACTCTACAGTTACTATGATACTTATAATGCTTTGTGATTAAAGTTTAATTTCAATGATTTTTCGTAGAAGTTGAAAACAAGAAGAGAAATAGCCATTTTTCGTTTAATTGCACAATAGAAAATTAGGATCCAATGAATCACAACACATCAAGTAAAGTAAAAATAAAGTGAAAGCAAAGTACAACTTGGTAGAATATAGTGAAGTAAAGTGAGTGAGTTAAAGTAAACTTATGCTTTCAGTTTCCACTAGAAGTGAAAGTAAACTGTTTAAACTTGAACTAACGAGTTCAGTTCATATTACAGAGTATCAAATTTAATCTTAAGCTTTGTAATAAGCATTATAATAGTTTTTACAATATTGAAATTGTAATGTGTAGGTCAAGTTTTTGTGAATAAAGATGACTTAGTTTTGCTCTTATGCATATACGGAGTATAATATATGGCTTGCAGGAGTTCAGGTACTATCATATAGTATACTGGAAACAATTAATCGAACACCAACATAACTCTCTTTTAATAACTCAACCACACAATCTTATTTTCACACCCATTTCAACCCAAGGAAACACTCTTTATACTACAAAAATATTTGCTTTGTATCAGTTTTAAGAGCCCCCTCAAGCTCCTGCTCAACACACATACACACACCTGAACACTTACAAATCATGAAACCAAATAAATCATAGGAAACCATAAGATAAGAAATTAGGAATTCACCTTCAAATCTAGCAATTCACAAAACTAATACTCTGTAACTCATATTAAGAGAAGAACAATAAAGAATCAAAGAAATCATGTCATACTCTTCCAAGGGATCAAATATTGGAGAATTTACATTCACATTAAAACCCAGCAATTGGCCAAATTACGAACTCATATACAAAGAGCAAGAATAAATAATTAAAGAGAAACTAAATTCATGTAGCAATTCACTAACGAAATTAAGAACACATATAAAAGAGAAAAAATAAGAATTAAAAAGAAATGGTGATATCTCCCTAATTAACACATTAAAGCTTTAGAAATACATACCCAAACACGGAGGAACCCTGATGGCCTGATTTGAAGAAAAACTGGAAAAACAATGTTTGGATATGTCGAAAACTAACCTGGTTTTCCCAAAAAACAGAATGAATCGGCCAATTGCAGAGATGTCAGAGCTTCTTCGGTGATAGAAATACCAGAGAGAATGATTTATTTGTGGCAGCTCGGCAAAGAGTGTTCATTATATAGGTCTTGAGTTTTCGATTTCCCTCTTGAGTTGTTTTCGATTTCCCTCTTGAATTTTCGATTTCCCTCTGATTTTTCGGTGAAGCCGCGCCTATTTTTGTCTAGTCAGCAAGTTTCGACGGCTTTCTACACTCGGACGTTAACCTTCACGCTGTTTAGGTTTTTTTTGCCATATCAGCAAAAGACTACTCGCATTGGAGGACTAAATAAAAACACAATGTCTAATTATGATGAAGTGGCAGACTAAATCGGAACTAGAAAGCCTGCGTTGATGATGCTCTTAGCGTTAGCAAAAAATGTTCAATGTTGTCCTGAGCATCAAGACCATGAACTTTTGAGCTTAACCATTTAGCCATCGTCTTCTGCCCACAAGCTAAATTTGTAAAACTTCTAAGTGGAACCATTTCACCATAACTTAATAAATCAATATTATCAAATCAACTTTTCAAATCTGAACGGAAAACAAAAATAACGGAAGTATATAGATTTATCTCTTTCAAGAACATTAGTTGAACATATTTACATATATCCAAAAGACACAAAATTAATCAAGATGTATGAAATAAGAACTTCGAGCGAAAACATATCTGAGACCTTCAATCATGTTTAGACCTTTTAAATGAAGAACAATTTTAAAATTCGATGATTTAGAACTTTAACAAAAAGTCAGAAATTAAGAAAACAATCTATGAGATAAAACCATAGAGTAAACAATCTAAAGTGTGGCCAATGGGTATAAAGTCTGGGATAAAAAACCTTGGAAGCTTTTGAGTCTTTTGATGCACTGTTAACATGAGCTCTAAGTGGATGTCCATGTTCATCTGCAATTATACGCTGAATGAGACTTCATGTCCTTAATTGGTTTAGCTAAACTGATTCACCTTGGTAATTATTTTGCAGTGCATTCCAAGATTATTTAAACCTTTTTGGACAGCTTCTCAGTGTGAAACAATCAAACATTTTTCAAAAACCTTACTCATTTAGATTTAAAAAAATACAATTTTTTCAACTCCTTAGACAACTAAAAAAAACAGTGATTGCAAAGCTAAATCACTTAAGCTACCATAATTTTTTAGACCCCAAAATGAGATCCAATAATCAAATAGTCACCCTTTAAATAAAGAAAACCTGTTAGAAGATCATCATGTATATCTGAGGGTGTGGAAATGAATAAAACGCAATCAGTCACACCAAATTTCAACAATGTAACAAAGTAATGAGTATTGAGTTGATAGTAATATTGGACACAATGTAACAATGTAACAAAGTTATGAATAAAACTCAATACATACTTGAGTTGATAGTAATATTGGACACAATGTCCTCAAAAAGAGAATCCATTTTTTGTGGTGTCAAGTTTCTTTTATTACATTCCATATGTTCTAAAGTAAAAATTAAAACTCACCATGCATATTTTCATTCAATTTGATAGAGCTAGTGAAAAAGCTGTACAACGAAGGCCACCCCTCTATTTCAAGTAGCTTTACGAGTATATAATGATCTGTCATGCATCATATAATCCCATACTTAAGCTCCTCCCTACGCTCCACTTCAGTATAATTACACTATTGCCAGTACGTAGCATTTAGCTTTCATTGCAGTACATAAAATGGCTATATTCATCTTCCTTCTTGCTGCTGCAGCTATTTACACCAGTGCTTTATCATCATCATCATCATCATCATCAAGTGGTGTTTTTCAAATCCACGACCGCTTCTCAAGCGACATTGTTGATGCCTTGGGAAACCATGGCTTGCCTAAGAAAGGAGGCTTGGACTACTTTTCCTACATGGCAGCCCTTGATTCCAAGAGACTGCAATCTTCTCCGGCATTGACTCTCTCATCTGGAGATGCCAGTTTTCAGATATCAAGGTAAGGTTGTTAATACTACATCTTGAAACTGTGTTATCTTGAATATTTTGGTGAATTGTGTTCAGTAATTTTCTATATATTTTATACGTAGTAGTAAATTATTATTAAATTATTATTGATCGTATAAAAATGATATGAAAATGTTACTTATTAAAAATACTTTCTTAAAATCACAAAATTTATATTTATTATAATACGGAGTAATACTATATACTAATCAAGATCACAGTCTAAACTTTACTCTATTAACTTCAAAAGTCAAAGATGACAAAATTTTAAGCTACGGAGATAACATTATAGATGTACTGATGTGTGTGTATTCAGGGGGAATCTGAATCTCGGATGCTCCGAGATGAATAATAATTATACATATACTAGCCTTAAACATTAGTACTGATGTTGGCTAAATGTGAACAATGAAAAAAAATCACCAAGAAATTGGAAAAGTGCAAGTTACTCTGGGCTATTTTTTTATATCATAGTTACCCTGAGCTTAAATCCTCCATGTTTTTTTTTAAATTTATGTTTCTATGTAATACATTATTATTTTCCAGGGAATGGGTCCATGAGTATTATTGTATAATTACTCGGGGTGAATGAGCCAAAACTCAAGAGGACTAAACCAAACGTCCAAAAGCATATCCAAATAGGCAAGCATAATTTGTTTTTACCATGCAATGGACGATAATAAATTACTCCTTATGTCTGAGGAAGCGGTCCAGCTCAGCTGGTCGCCGACTCACTCTCCCTTATGAGAGGTCCCGGGTTCGAAACTCAATGGAGTGAGTTTCAGTCCAATTTACTCCAGGCTCCCCTCAGACTCCCCAGAAGCCCCTGGACTAAAAGAAAAAATTTACTCCTTATGTCTTATTATCTTTTTCTTATCTTTTCATTTGTCATGTATGCTTACCTCGCTGGCTCGCTATATTTTTCTCATAGCATATTTAGTACTCCATTTGTCCTAGTTTCCCACTAACTGTGGGACAAGGAGTGAGATAGAAACCAATAAGAAATGATTTATGTGGTTAATATTGAATTGATAAAGTAAAAATAAAGTAATTAAAAATAATTTAAAGTTTCACAAATTTTACCAAATTATCATATTTGAAATGGGATAATTTTAGTTGGACGGACTGAAAGGTAAAATGAGACAACTTAAGCGGGACGGAAAGGAGGAAATTAATAATATAATATTCGTGTACAAGGTCTAATTCACTCCCATTCTTTTGATACTTTATTCATTTACATTCGTCCCTCATGTCTAAACCTGCTGGACCATATATAAGTGGATGCAGGGGTGAACTTTCCTCTAACGGAATTAATCCCAATTTTTTGTAAATTCATTTTTAATTTATTATAATTTTTTTCATATATAATTATTAATAAGCTAAGTCCATGTTAAGTTTTAACATAAGCTCAGTAGTCTCAATGACTCAATGTGCGCTCCCTCTTGTTCCTAAAAACTTTTTAAGCGCCCATGATCTGAGTAACAAGTATTGCAGTTTGTAGAAATTACGGAGTAGTTTTTATTGATCGACTATGTGTGTATGTTACGTGAAAGTTCCTGAAACAGGACTAAAACAGTTTGAAAATTTCAAATAGGACTGACGTGTTTTTATTTCCAAAATAGGAGTAATTACTGTCAAGTTTGGAAAATATTGCTATGTTTGAAGTTTGGTACTGCCAAAACATGACAGTCCTATTTTAGAATTTTCAAAACTTTTTAGCCATATTTCGGATAATATTCTCATATATTACCGAGCACGCATTAAATTAGTTGCATTTACATTTGACCTTTACATTTTACTGTGTATATCATAGTATGTAGCATTTATTTTAGGGAAAATTCCAGAAATAGTAGTAAATAGGTTTGAAAATTCCGAAATAGGGCTGTCATGTTTTTATTCCCAAAATAAGAGTAATTACTGTCATGTTTGGAAAATATGGTCATGTTTAAAATCTGGTACTGCCAATAAATATGACAATAATTAGTCATATTTTAAAAATAAAAACACGGCAGCCATATTTTGGAATATACAAACGTTTTTAATCCTATTTAGGATAATTTCCCTTTATTTTATAGGATGAATGAGTCCTTATTTAATAGATTGCTTATGATTGAATATTACTCTTGTCATTTCTTTAGACCTAAACACATAACCAACCTTATGCAAATAAAGATAAAATATTTATTAATATTAAAATAATCTTATATTGTATAATATTCATGTATAATATTGCAAATAGTTATACATCTATAATATTCATATACTCCGTATATTGTGTGTCTTTACTTAATTTTTAGTTGTTAGCCCGCCCCACCTCTTATTCCTAGGCCCTAGCACCTAATTAACTGAGGTTATTTTTATCAAATTTAAATTACAGTATCCACTACGCAAGAGTTTATGTTGGAACGCCAGCCTTGCCATTCATCGTTGCACTTGACACAGGGAGTTCCTTGTTTTGGCTCCCATGCAATTGCAGTGTCTGTTTACGCAACATCACTTTGGATTCTCCACAGGTATATATAAGTTTATGATTGTTCGATATCATTTTTTAATGTTATAAATTCTTGAACTTATTGTGGTTAGAAAGGGGCTCTATATTATTTACTAGTATGTTATATACTCAACTCAAAATATTAATATGTATACTACCTCCGTCCCTTTTTATTTAGCCATCTTTGACTTTAATTTTCCAGTCAAAGGTGATAAACTTTGATCCATTATTTTAATTAACATATTTATATGAAGCTTACTAAATTTATACTTTTATGATAGTATTTTTAACAAAGATCATTTTCATATAATTTTCATATTATCAATATTATCATGTATAAATATAGAATCGGTCAAAGTTCAACAACTTTGACTTGAAAAAAGGTGTTTGACTAAATAAAAAGGGACGGAGGGAGTATTATAATAATTGTATTATTGATATATCACTATCAGTGATATATACGTAGTAGTTGATCGATATGATGAGTGTTAATTATTGAAGATTGTTTTCCCTATAATTAATACGGAGTAATCTTTTCTTAATAAAATTGTTGTTTGGAATTGACTGCATGTTGTTTTCACCTTTCACGATCTTTCAGCCCGACCTACCACAGATAACGAATCTCAATATTTACCATTCGGATAAATCGTCCACGTATAAAATTATTGGTTGCCCAACTTCAAATAATGGGTGCCCGTATGAGGTCCTATACTTGGATGGATCATCCGCTACAGGAGTACTCATATCAGACATATTACACCTAACCACTTATGACAAGCAACACCAACACATCCAGGCTGCTGTGACATTCGGGTACACACCTAACACAAATGTACATACATAATTTAAATTTATAAAAAATGCATGCATGCATGCTGATCAATGATCATGTAGGATGTTTTTGCTTGGAATGTTTTCAGTCTCAGACCAAATCAGACTTAGATAGACCAGACTAGACTAGACCAAACTTAAACAAACCAGTTCAGACCGGACTTTTGTAGTTAGGAAATACACAGATCATACATTCACCAGATCGAACCAGATTTAAAGAGATGAGAACAGACCAGACCAGACCAGACCATCACATTTTATTTAGTCCATATAAAAACATATGTAGTCTTTTGTGTTATTATTACGTAATACGTAGTATTACCTTTTGTATACTTCCGACATAGATAGCTAGGAGATGAGAGTAATAATTAGCTAGGTTTTATACTAAGTATATGTTATTACTTATATATCCATTATACGAAGTCTATATGCTGGATTTAGCAATTAAAGATTACTCGTATTTAGAGAAGATTTTGCTTGGACGATTATTATTGGCTTTTTTACTACTCCGTATATGTTTGGTCTATATGTTAGGTGTGCATCCAACGTAACAGGCCTCTTTCTGGGAGTTTCAGCTTTTAATGGATTGTTGGGGCTTGGGCCGGGTACTGGGCCTGATGACATGGATGCCCTCAGCATTCTCGCTGCTCAAGGGATTGTTGGCAATTCCTTCTCCCTCTGTTTCCAACCCAGTGGAAAGGGGAGATTAATATTTGGAGACAAAGGCACTCCCAATCAGAGAGAAACACCATTTGATCTAAATACCCAAAAGTATGTCCTATACTTATCTTTTGGTCCAAATTTAATACGGAGTATATAGTAATCCTGAAATCAATTTCTTATAATTAATTAATGTTTGTGGACACTTATTGCTAATAATGATGTTTAATTAATCTTGCTATGTGCAGTGAAGGGTACAATATTATGATTGAGGAGATTGTTGTGAATAAAAATATCACAAAAACTGTTGATCTAACTGTGCTTTTTGATTCGGGTACATCATTCACAGTTTTAAGTGATCCCGCCTACACATTTATTACAGAAAATGTGAGTGTTTTTCTTTATTAGACGGTATCTATTTATATAGATACAAACGTACATACATACGATTTTATGAAGAGGGAATCGTGCAAGCTTGAATCAACAATAAACTGATTTTAAAGTATGAATCCGCACTAATTCAAATAGAAATACAAGCTTGAATCGAATAGCTTATAAGAACAAGAACTAAAAGAAATATTTTATTATTTATAGAATGAATTCAAATAGCTTGAATCAGATAGTTCGATGCTATGTAATCGCATATGATCGTGAAAGAAATTGAATGCCCTTTACATCATCTGTACCTCCTATATATTCTACAAGCTTCTACTTAGCAGTTAGAACTGCCCGGTGAATCCGGTGCCTCCTTCTGCGTAATAGGACTCCAGCACGTTGTTCTCTGCCTTTTGATCTTATCACTTCTTTAATTAATTGCTTGGACCTCTTCTAAAAGACCTTGGGCCGGTTTACACATTTGAACACATTGACTCGTTGGCCCATTTGTAAAATAAATCCTTGGGCCCAACACATACATTTACACACTTAAATGTTTTTGTTGTTGTTACACACATACATGTTGAAATATTAAAATGTGTACTTCATACAATTACTAAGTTGTTTGTTCTAACTATACTTAATAAATGTTGCAGTTCAACTCCTTAATAAAGGAACCACGCAGCCAACAAACATTTCTGCGTTATTTTGAATACTGCTATGACTTGAGGTGGTTATATATATAGTATAAAAGCATATATATATATATATATATATATATATATATATATATATATATATATATATATATATATATATATGGAGCGGTTGCGGTAAGAACGAATCTTAGGAGAGAAATGAGAACGAATCTGGACCGTTGGATTGAATTATGTGGAACTGAATTGTGCATTTGGTGAAACCGAAATGTGCATTAGATGATACTGAAATGTGCAAAATAAAAATTTACACTCAAGTGTGCATTAGATGAAACTCAAATGTGCGAAATAAAAAGTACAAAAATAACATTACATCATACTTTTTATTCTACACATTTCAGTTTCACCTGTTGCACATTTCAATTTCACATAATGCACAATTCAACTTCACATAATGCCACCGTATCGTACCCTTTGTGCTGCACATTTTAATTTCAATTAATGCAAACTACAGTCTCATCTAATGCACACTGAATTTTACTTAAAGCAAATCTAACGGTCTAGATTCGTTCTCATTTCTCTCATAAGATCGTGTTCTTATTTGAACTTATATATATATATATATATATATATATATATATATATATATATATATATATATATATATATATATATATATATAGTGCTCTTCCTGTCCGGAATTTCCAGACATGGGAGTGGTCCGGCCTGGCCGGACCTGAATACTCCTGTATGTATGTATGTATGTATGTATGTATGTATGTATGTATGTATGTATGTATGTATGTATGTATGTCTGTATGTATGTATGTATGTATGTATGTATGTATGTATGTATGTATGTATGTATGTATGTATGTATGTATGTATGTATGTATGTATGTATGTATGTATGTATGTATGTATGTATGTATGTATATATATATATATATATATATATATATAGAGAGAGAGAGAGAGAGAGAGAGAAAGCGAGAGCTGAGGAATGATCCTGTCCAGCCGGAGGGACAGGATCTTCCATCTGGCTGCCGCCGTTTGAGGTGGTTTCCGGTGGCATTTGTTGATGACATTTCCTGAGTTTATTCATTATTAAGTCTAGTTTATCCACAAAATATTTCAACTGAAAATTAGATTGGGAAGGAAGTCAAACAATTTCTTGAAGATAACTGCGTTAAATTATACATATAAAAGCAGTTATTTTCAAAAATTTATTTGACTGTCTTCCCGATCCAATTTTTAGCTGAAAGTGTTTACGGATAAACTAGACTTGATGAGGAACACAAAATTTTTTATTAAAAAACTCTATCGGGAACCGCCACAAACGCGGCAGCTGGACGGCACTCCTGTCCAAAATGGACAAGATCGTTTTCGTGTATATATATATATATATATATATATATATATATATATATATATATATATATATATATATATATATATATATATATATATATATTTTACCCCGGAAAGTCAACCACCAAAATCAGTGGGGTAAATGCCGGGGGACATTTACCGAGATTTTATTAAGATGAACTAGTCCCATTACAAAAAGAACCAGAAACCTGGATAAGTAAAAACAAAAGAAAAAATTACAATCGAAATGACGGAATACCAAAATAATCCATCCAATAGGCCCGTTTGACCATAATAGGGAGTTGACCCGTGTTCCTGAAAATAATATCTCTGTCAGTCCGAAATTGGGCCAAATAGTGGGCGGCCCAATTCCCTTCCCGTTTTACATGACCCAACTGAAGCTTATGTCTGAATATCATCTCCTTACTTTCCTGAATCTCGTTCCACCATCTTCTACCTTTCTTACCTTCCAAATAATCCAAAGCCAAAATACAATCAGATTCAACGATAAAAGCTTTGTGACCTGCGTTCACCGCCCATCGGAGAGCATGAATAATGGATAGAACCTCCGCTTCCAAAGGTGACGTCGCGAGGACAGGGAAGCTAATCGCAGCAACCATAGCTCCATTCTGGTCGCGCATAATGGCACCTCCATTTGCTCTGTCAGCTAAGTAACTTGCATCTATATTAAGCTTCCACATAGTATTAGACCTGTTCCACCTTATAATCGAAGATTTGAAACCCTTGAGTTTATAATTTCTAGGAACTAAACCTTCTTCAACCAGATGGTAGCTAATATTTCGAATCTTGGGGATAGATAAACTAGCCACCCAATTTTGAGTATACAGTTTAACTTGAATAATAATGCTCCTGGAGTTGATATTTTCCACCCCATTCCCCCAAATTTGCTCAGCATAATTCTTCCAAATTTTCCAGCAAATGATTCCAGGAATGCCCTGCTTAATCATGTCTTCCAACGTGCTTGTTTTCCTACCTAAATTCCAGCACCAGTATCTACTATAATCCATACCCGGGGGTTGATAAATTCTGAAGATGCTTAGAAAATAAAACCAGACCTCTTTTGCAATAGTGCACTGAAAAAATAAATGTTTCATAGCATCACTATGTCTTTTGCAAAAAGGACACCTAGACGGTTGTAAAACCTGCTGAAATCTGTTAAGATTATCAGAGATAGGCAGAATTCCTTTGGAGATCTTCCACTGAAGTAATTTAACTTTGAGCTCAAGCTTTGTATCCCAGATCTGCTCATAGATAATAGAATTAAAACCCAGCTCTCTAACTTCTTCATAAGCTGATTTGAATGAGAATTGACCATCAACTTCTTCATTCCAGGTTATATTACCATTTGGATCCACAGTGCTGAGATCAAGGCCCTGATTATTGACTGAACAAATTCTTCTCCAAATTGGTGAGTCTGTAATTTTAGGTATCATATTCCCATCCCTTTCATACCTAAGCCTCATGATTTGAGACCATAAAGAATCCTCAGCCTTCCACTTCCACCATAGCTTAAGAGAAAAAGCTTTTTGCAAATCAGCCAAAGACCTGATTCCCAGACCACCCTCTAGAGTTGGATAACATAATTTATCCCATTTTATCCAATGGTATTTAGGCTTGTCACTGGATGAGCCCCAAAAAAAGGATGCCATTTTACTATTTAGCACCTTGACAACCTTTTTAGGCAACGTATCAACTGCTAATAAATGGAGAGGAATTGAATTCAACACATATTTGATAAGAATAAGTCTTCCAGCTTGAGATAGATTTTTTTGCCTCCATGGAGAAAGTTTCTTCTCAAATTGATTAATAATGTTGCTGCGGTATTCAAACCTGTTTATACCTTTATGCAGGTTGACTCCAAGGTATTTCATAGGCAGAGAAGTCAATTTCATCCCTAGCAACTCCTTGATACTGTTCTGCCTGGCCAGAGAAATTTTTCCACAAATAAAGGAACTCTTTGAGAAGTTTATGACTTGCCCTGATGCCTGCTGGTAAGTATTCAGAAAGTTTTTAAATCTCAACAAGGATCTAGCATCCCCATTCAAAAAAATTAGAAGATCATCAGCATAACCCAGATGTGAAACTGCCCTACCTTTAGATCCCATCCAATAGGGTTTAATTTTAGCTTTCTCCACTAAACAGTTCAATCCTCTGGAAAAAGCTTCAGATGCTATTATAAATAGGAAAGGAGAAAGGGGGTCTCCTTGCTTAACCCCCCTAGAAGGCTTAAAAAACCCTTGAGGTGATCCGTTGATCAAGACTGAAAAGTATGAAGCTTTAAGATTATTTAAGATAAGCTTAACCAAGTGAGAAGAGAAACCAAACTTCAGCAATATATTTGATAGAAAAAGCCAAGAAACTCTATCAAAAGCCTTAGTCATATCAAGCTTCACAATTAGATTTCCACCCCTTATCTTCTTATCAATGCAATGAACCATCTCTTGAGCTAAAAGAACTTGATCTGCTGATATATATATATATATATATATATATATATATATATATATATAAATTCAAATCAGATTTCACCTTTCATAAGGGTTGGTTTGCAACTGCTTTTAAAAAAGCACTTCTCAGCTTTTGGCTTTAAAAAAACACTTAGTTTCTCAAACACTACAATTTTTATTTTTCTCGGCTTCCGCGTCAAAAGTGCTTTTACTTTTTCTATTACACAAAAAGCACTTATTGATGGATAGTCTACCCGGGGGGTATCTTATCCGAGGGGTTACTACGGGAATAACTTAGAGAGAAGTCAGAGCAAAATAGGAGGAGAGAGAGTCGATTTTATTAAATGAACTCGAGATGTGGAGTTGAGATGTAGATCCTGATTTACAAGGAGAAATGGGCTGCTATTTATAGCAGCAATAAATGCGATGAGGGGACACGTGTCAGTAATCCAACGGCCGAGGGGTCACATCAGCCGGTTGGCACCGGCAGTGGTACGTCCACCGCATTGATTGCGGTTGGCGGATGTGACGTGGCATTAAATGCGGTGGTTGGCTGTCTCTAAAAGGAATCTTCGATGATTGAGCTAGTTCAGCTGAAGGCTACTTGTGTAGCCGAGAGCTCCTTGTGCAGCCGAGGGCTTCATGTATGGCCGAAGGCTCGATGTGTAGCCGAAGGCTTGGTTCAGCCGAGGGCTTCCCCTGGTGCCGAGGGCTCCATAGTGCCGAAGGCTAATGTTTTCGCCCGTTTTCTCCCGGCAGCTTCTTGTGCCAAAGAAGGCTTATCCTGTGAGTTTTGGAGCCTTCGGCCAAGGAGGCCGAAGGCACCCCAGTGTGTATTCTGGGCCACTTTGAGGCTTGGGCCGTTGTATTTGGGCCTGAGTTGTTTCCTGAGCTCAATGGACTTGTGTAGGAGAAGTAGGAGTCTATGGGCCGGGGGTTCCTGGGCCATATACTCCATCAGGGGTCCCTCACTCCTTTTGCCGAAAGGTACTTGAGGGAAAAGGAGTAGATGTGTTGCTTCTCCTGGAGGCTTCTCCATTTCGCTGGGTGCTCTTGCTGGAGAACTTGTCTTCTGTTGATTGCCGAAGGCTTCCCTCAGTCCCTCACATGTCGAGGGTTTTCTGAGGGAAGGTATTCATAACCTTCGCATGTTCGCTGGGGGCTCCCCTCAGTCCCTCACATGTCGAGGGCTTTCTGAGGGCAGTATAACACCTGTATGATTGCAGAAGGCTTTCCTCAGTCCCTCACATGTCGAGGGTTTTCTGGGAAAGGCACAGGTGTATCGCCTGCGTGTGTTGTGATGAGGGCTGCTTTATTTCCGTAAGTGACTTGTGGAAAACTTATGATATCCTGCCTCTGCCGAAGGGTTCCACTTTGATGTTTGTCCGGAGGCTGCATGCGTCAATTGTAAATTGTTTGTTTCTAAGGAATTTTTTGTTGTATATGATCCCCGAGGGGTGTATCCCATACATCGAGGCCCAAAAGCCTATAAATACCCAAGGCCAGAGCCATTTGTTTTGTGCGTTCCTTAAGCTATAGCGAAGCTCTGCCAAATTTTCTAGAGAGATAAACTCCCGCCCTCGATCAGACTAATCTTTCTGAGGTCAGTTCTTCTTTTGTTCTTCGTGGCCTTAGTATATTTTGCTTCCATTTCTTTAGATCTAGTGTTAGGGAAATCGTAGGGCCCTGAGAAATTATTTCCTTCCCAAAAACCCTACGACGGCCATTCTCGAGCAATGTCCTCCGGTAGCGACTCTCAGGACATCTCAAGGGAGCCTTCGGCACAGCAGGAGAGCTACTCGGATGTGGAGTCGTCGAGTGAGCAGCCGTCGGCTAATAACGACTTCGTGGTAGCTGAGGAGGTACAAAAAGCCCTTCGGGCCGAGTTGGAGGCCGAAGACTTCGAACAAGTGAATGAGGATGAGGAGCTGGCCCTCGCTCTGCAAATTGCCGAAGAGGAGGATGAAAAGGAGCGCCGCCAGGTGACAATTGCAGTCATGCCTTCTCGGGGAGCTGGTGAAGCGAGCACCTCCCGGCCTTTGGACGCTCAGCCCCTCCGGGTGGCCGAGGGGAAAAAGAAGAAGAAGCCGAAGGCCGCTCCAAAGAGAAAGCAAGCGGCCGTTGACGCCGGGCGACCGGTCGGAATTCCCGAGGGGTATTCGTACTTGGATACCACCGCTCTTGAGGTGACTACGACGGCCTCGGGTGCCGATTGCCAAACCCTCCAGGTCCTTGTTGGACCTTCAGCCCAGGTCGTGGAGCCGGGGCCCGAAGACTTGTTATCCCATCCCCCTGAGGGGTGTTTTTCCGTGCATATGCTGTCGGTGGAGCTGGGGCTCAGATTCCCACTCCATTCCTTTGTCCTGGAGTACCTCAGATACGTGAAGCTGGCCCCCTGCCAACTCACCCCAAACAGCCATTATTATCTGGCAGGGTTCCTATCTCTGTGCCGTAGCCGGAAGGTGGAGGCTACGTTGGAGCAATTCTTTCTCTCCTTCAATCTATGCCGGGGGGGGACATTCTCACGCCGGGGGATATGCCAACCTGCAGCAGGTGCCGGCCTGGAAGCTGTTTTCTGAGACCCCTTCCTCCCACAAGGAATGGAAGGAGAAGTTTTGCTACATCAGGCTGGCTTCAAACCCATTCCTGGGGGCTCTCAACAATTACTTCAAGAGGCACCCGAAGGTGGGTAGTGCGGCTCTCCAGAAGGCCGGCAAGAAGCTGATGGAGAAACCCGAGGGCTCGGATAAAGTCATCGCCATCAAGCAGGCCACGTTGGCCGAGGATCTGTATCTGCTGGGCTTCCGGAGGTATCGCCTTCCGGGGGATAAAGATGAGAAGTATCCCCTGATTGATCGTGGGTACTTAAGCTCCGGAGGTTGTTGCCGAGGGCTTTGATTTTTGGTACTTAGAAAATTTTCTCTCTCATTTGTTGTGGCTCTAACCGTTCCTTATCTTGTGCAGGTGATATTATGGATCCGAAGGCGTTCGCCAAGCTGACCAAGAAGCTGGCCAAGGAGCCAAGGAAGAAGAAGGAGGAGGGGTCCTCGGCGAACCAGCCTCCTGTTGACGAGGTGTTGAAGAAGGCAGGGGCTCCCAAGGTCCCGGAGGGTGGGGACCTCTCCCAAAAACCCGTTGCTGATTCCGGTGCTGGTGCCGGAGGCTCCCAAGACGGGGAGCTAAAGAGGAAAAATGCCGGGAAGGGCGTCTTGCCCCCGGAGAAGAAGAAGAAGAGGGGTGAGGGGGGCAAGGATGCCCCCTTAGTGATTATCGATGAACCCCCTTCGGGTAAGCCCTCGGATTCCCTCCCCCAAGTGGATCTTGACGAGGGGGCTTGGCCCCTGGAAAAGGTGCAGTTCCCCATCAAGAAGGGGACAGCTATTATGCATGGCACCCTTGATCCGAGGGAGTTCCTGAGGGGCGCCACTCCCTCGCTGGATCGATCAACCCTCGGCAAGTTCGAGGACGAGTCTCTCGAGCTCAAGGCCCTTCAAGCCTCGGTCACGGTAAGTGCCTTTCCCTTTCTTAACTTTTGTCCCGGGTTTCCCTATCTTTGCATAATTTGATCCCGAGTGCTCCTTTATCTGTTTGCAGTCGAGCATTGCCCTCGGGGAGCTAGTCAGGAGGGCGGAACAGCGCCGTGTTGAAAGGGCGAGGTCTGAGGAGGCCATGCGGAAGCTGATTGCTAATAACACCGAGGCCATCAGGCAACTGGCCGGTCTGGAGGAGGCCCTAAGGCAATCTGAGCAGAGGCTAGAGGCTGCCAAAAATGAGGCTAGGGCCGAGGGCATCGCTAATGGGAAGGCTGAAGCAGAGAAAACTGCCGCCGAAGCCGCCAAAGCCGCCGCCGAGGAAGCTGACAAGGCCAAAGCCGATGCCGTCGCCAAAGCCACCGAGGATGCCGTTGCTTCTTTTGTTGCCGATGGCTGGAGGGCCGAAGAGTACCAGCAGTGGGTGGCCTCGGTGGTTGAGGCCAAAGCGGATGCCTGGGTGAAGGGCCCCGGGGCAATGTGGCTTGCCCTGAAGGGGAAAAGTTTTTACGAGGGCGCCCAATACTTTACTCAGGCTATGCTGTACCGGAGGCTGGCCCGACACCACGGCGTAGATCCGAAGGAGTTTCAGCCTGAAGCTTATGGCCTCCCCCCCTTCTGCCGGACGTGAGGGTTCCTTTGCCCGAGGGTGAAGAAAGGGAGCTGCTCGAGGACTCGGAGCTGGCCCGATGCGATTCAGATGGCGACGGAGCCGAAGAAGATGCCTCCTCGAAGCCGAAAGAGGACAGAGCTGAGAATGCTCGAGTTTAAAATTTGTTTAAGCACAACTTGTAATAGTTAAATAGGCTTCCGGCCCCGGCCTCATGTTGTAAACAGATATCTCTTATACTTCAATTATTTAGTTTTGAATGAATGATGTGCCTCCGGGCTTTTTGTATGAATAATGCCTCATTTTTCTCCAAGTTTTGTTTGCCTCCGTTCGTTTTCCTTATGAATGTATGCCTTTCGTTACTATGTATTCTTCTGCCTGCCTTCCCGGAGGCCAAAAGTTTGTGGACTTAGAAAATTTTCTAAGTGAGACCAGACCAGGACCCTTCGGCTGTAAAGTAGAATTACCGGGGGGTCGTTGCTTGTGTACTTAGAAGGCTTTCCAAGTAAAACTTGATTAGAACCCTTCGGATGTTTTGTAGAATCACCGGAGGCTCGTGATTGCGGACTTAGAAAAATTTCCTGAGTAAGATTCCTTCGCATGTCTTCGGTGATGAACCATTGGGATTGCTTCCGGGATGTAGCAATAGAACCGAGGGCTAAGGTGAATTAGATTTAGGAAATTTCCCAAGTGCAGTTGCCTCTAATGCCTCCGGGAAGCTTGGAATCCTTTGTTTAGTAGTGTAGCTTTAGGTCATGGCCAAGTGGCTTAGGGGAGCCATCGACCACGAATCTGTAGGTGAAGAATTGCCCCCCGAAGGGTCTCCCATTCGTGGACTTAGCAATCTTTTCACGAAGTTTCAATAGGTGCTGTAGTGAACCCTCGAGCGTGGGAACTGCCCGAGCCCCCGGTGCATATGATTGCCGGGGGTTTCGAGATCATGGACTTGGTGAAATTCTGAGATGTGTTTCCAACAGATCTTGTGAGTAGCCCCTCAGTTCGGTGAGTGGTTCCCGAAGGATGCGAACACATGGACTTAGAAATCTTTCCTCGTTGAATGAGCCTGGTGACATTCTGCCTTCGGCATGAGGCCTCCGGTTTGTGTAGATATAGGTTTAGCTTGCCTTAGAACTTTGTGAAGCCTTCGGCATTTCACATAGTTGACTTTGATCCAGCCGAATTCGTCATTAGCCAAATTTAGGTGAAGTTTTGCTTAGTGTGCCTTCTTCTTGGACTTCCGGGGGAACTGTTGTACTCCAAGGCTTTATGTAGTGGAGCCTTCGGCTATGTAGCCGGATGACTTGTTGTTGCGAGATTTTGCTTGTGCCTTTGTAGGAGCCTTCGGGAATGTATATCCGAAGTGTTGAGCCTCCGGGGAGAATAGTATCCGGGGAGTTCCTTCCCCCCTACACATCTCTTTTATTTTTTTCTTTTTTCTTTTTTTTTTTTTTTTTTTTTTTAGATGGTGTAGGAGAGGCGTCTAGAAACTTGGTTTCTAGGAAAGGCTTGGCCTATATGGGAGGCAACGGAACAAACCGTTGGCTCCCCCTTCGGGAATGACCTTCCGATATCCCGAAGGGTTTGAGGGTCGTTTCCTCGGCCCGAGACATCGTCTGTTGCCTGCTTCCCCTTGGGTGATAGCACGGAAAGCGCCTCGGTTTTGAAAGTCGTCCCCTCAGCCCGAGACATGGTCTGTTGCCTGCTTCCCCTTGGGGGATAGCGCGGGGAGCGTTTCGTTTGTGGAAGTCGAATCCTGGGCCCGGGACATGGTCCGTTGCCTGCCTCCCCTTGGGGGATGGCGCGGAAAGCGTTCCTGGGAAGGGTTTTATTTGTGTGTGGAACACAAATAGCCGGGGGCACTTGGTACCAGCCGGAGCCGAGGGGTGTTGCACCCCCCGGTTTTTTTTTTTTTTTTTTTTTTTTTTTTTTAGGAGGGTATGTAAAAGTTTGAGAAAACACTTGGTGTTTTTAAAGAGTGATGGGGGTGACCCATACGCTTGGTACTTGGTACCTAAATCGTTGTTCCCCCTCATGAGAGGGAGAGGCCTTGGGCCTATTTTGGTGAAGCGATGAGGGCTTGGCCACTCATTTGTAGGGGAGAAGGGGGGGCCTTGGGCCGCTTGTACCATATGTAGGTGATGAAGGCTTGGCCTTTTGATTATCCTTCAAAAACAGATGGGGCCTTGGGCCATTGATATTTACACTTGCTGAGGATGAGGGCTTGGCCGCTCATACCTTATTGATAGAATTTGACAAGGTGGTGCACATTCCAATGTCTAGGGACCTCCGTCCCATTGGGACGTTTGAGCTTGTATGTCCCTGGTTTGATGATGGCTGAGATGATGTAGGGGCCTTCAAACTTGGGCGCCATCTTTCCTCCTTCGGTGGGTAGACTGGCCTCCCTTCGCCGGAGGACGTAATCTCCCACCTGGAATGCCCGGGAACGGACCTTGGCGTCGATGTATCCTTTGACTTGTCTCCTATAGTTTTCGGCCCTGAGGAAAGCTTGCTCTCGGCGTTCCGAGATGAGATGAAGGTCGAGGGCCATGTTGGCGTCGTTAACCTCGGGCTCATATTGTTCCACCCTTCGGGTTGGAAGGGTCACTTCTGTTGGAGCCTTAGCCTCAAATCCATAGCATAGGGAGAAAGGGGTCTCGCCTGTTGCACGCCGAGGGGTGGTGCGGTAGGCCCATAAGATGTTATGAAGTTCTTCTACCCAGCCTCCCCCTTCGGCTTCCAGCCTTTTCTTCAATCCTTCAAGTAGGGTTCGGTTGGCGTTCTCCACTTGCCCGTTGCCCTGAGGGTAGGCGACGGAAGAGAATGTGTGCTTGATGCCCCAAGCCTCAAGGAGGGCACAGAAGGGGGCTGCCTCGAATTGAGTCCCGTTGTCGGAGATGATTTGTTGGGGGACGCCAAACCTTGTGAGAATGTTCTTAAGGACGAAGCGACGGCACCGGGCCTCCGTGATGCTGGCGAGGGGTTCGGCCTCCACCCATTTGGTGAAGTAGTCAATGGCCACAATGATATACCTATTATTGGAGGTACCCCTCGGCAGAGGGCCTACCAAGTCAATCCCCCATCTGGAGAAGGGTATAGCGGTGCTGATGGGGGCGTAGTTGACCGCTGGTCTGCCGGGGGCCTTCTGAAAATGTTGGCAAGCGGTGCACCTCCGGGCTAGATCCGCACAATCTCTAGCCATCGTGGGCCAGAAGTAACCTTGAACAATGAGCCTTCGGGACATGGAGAAGGGTCCCTGGTGAGCTGAGCAAGTGCCACTGTGCACTTCCTCCATGGCGACTTCGGCCTCATCTTGGTGAAGGCACCGAAGGAGGGTGCCGTTGTAAGATCTCTTGTAAAGCCTCCCGTTTTCGAGGGCGTAGCTGGGAGCCCTCAGCTTTGCTAACTTGGCACGGGCATCGTCTTGGGGCAATTGCCCTGTGGTGATGAAGGTGATGATGTCGGAAATCCAATCCTCCGGTCTCAGGTTAATATTCATAATGGGGCTTGCGTGGATGCTTGAGAGGCTGAGCTCCTCGATTCTTGCAATTTTTGAGAGGTGCTCGGGGGATTCATCCGAGAGCTTGGACAGAATGTCGGCCTTAGAGTTTTGAGCCCTCGGTATTTGGGTGGGGGAATGTGCCTCAAATACCTTAAGCAACTCTTTGGCAGCCTCCTTGTATTGCTTCATCCTTCCTTCCTTGGCCTCGTACTCCCCGGAAATTTGCCCCACGACAAGCTTGGAGTCACACTTGACGTGGATCATCTTTGCCTTCAGATTTGCTGCCAGCCGAAGGCCACAGAGGAGGGCTTCGTACTCGGCTTCGTTGTTGGAGACTTTGAAGGAGAAGCGGATGGCATAATAGGCGCGGAAGCCCTCGGGTGTGATGAGAACTACTCCCCCTCCGCATGCTTTCGTGGACGAGGAGCCATCGGTGTAGAGGGTCCACCACTCATCGAGGGGTGCCGAGGGCTCCTCGTCAGTTGCTGATCTTGCGGTGCATTCCGTTACGAAGTCCGCCAGGGCTTGGCCCTTAATGGCAGGCCTCGGACGGATGTCTATGTTGTATTGACTGAGGAAGATGGCCCATTTTACCATCCGGGAGGAGCTAGTGGGACTTCTCATGAGGGCGCCGAGGGGTTGATGAGTGAGCACTTGGACCGGATGAGCTTGAAAGTAGTGGCCAAGCTTCTTGACGGTCCAAACGATGGCTAGCACCGTCTTCTCGACGGGAGAATACCTGAGTTCGGCCTCCCGGAGGGTTTTACTGACGTAGAAGATGGCATGTTGGATGCCGTCCTCTTCTCGGATTAGTACTGAGCTGATAGCCGCAGGGCTAACACCGAGATATAAGTATAAAGTCTCCCCCACCTTTGGTTTGGAGAGCACTGGGGGAGAGGAGAGGTACTTCTTGAGTTCGTCGAAGGCCTCTTGACATTCAGATGTCCATTGAAAACCCGCCGTCTTCCTCATGATTTGGAAGAAGGGGAGGGCCCTCTCGGCTGACTTAGAGAGGAATCGGTTGAGGGCCGCCAGGCGACCCGTCAGCCGTTGAACTTCTTTGACGTTGCGTGGAGGCTCCATGTTGATGATGGCCTGAATCTTCTCGGGGTTGGCCTCAATACCCCTTCGGCTGACCATGTAGCCTAAGAACTTCCCCCCTTGCACGCCGAAGGTGCATTTCTTTGGATTTAGCCGGAGATTGAATTTTTGCATGATGGCGAAGATTTCCCGGAGGTCGTCGGCGTGAGTGCCTGCCTTCTTGCTTTTGACGATCATGTCGTCAACGTAAGCCTCCATAGTGCGTCCTAGGACAGCTTGGAAGACCCTAGCCACCATGCGTGTGTAGGTGGCGCCTGAATTTTTGAGGCCGAAGGCCATCACAAGATAGCAGAAGATGCCTTCGGGTGTCATGAAGGCTGTTTTTTCAGCGTCTTCCTCGTGCATGTAGATTTGATGATATCCGCGGAATGCGTCGAGGAATGACATGATTTCGCATCCGGCGGTCTCATCCACCAATTGGTCGATGTTTGGCAGTGGGAAGGGGTCCATGGGGCATGCCTTATTCAGATCCGTATAGTCCACGCACATGCGGAAGGTAGGAGGCTTCTGTGCGAGGACTACGTTCGCTAACCAAGAAGGGTATTTCACCTCCTTGATGTGTTTGATAGAGAGGAGCATGGCCACCTCCTTTTTCACAAATTCCCTTCT